CCCCAAAACCCCAAAACCCCAAAACCCCAAAACCCCAGAGAGTTTAAGAGAGCTTGAAAACAGAAAGGCTTAAATATGTCAGCATCTTATATGAAAATAGAGCTTATTTAGATTCAGAATTATTCGGAGTCTCTTCCTCCTCATCTATCTGCCTGATAGTGTCTTTGTCCTTGTCTGTAGTTACTATTTAGAGGATGATGAAGTTCTAGAGAGATTGAAAGGAAATTAGGAGTTGACGTTAAGATTACTTTTATAACGGTTCATCTTCCGAAGTCTCTCAAGAGCCATCATTGCTGGCGTCTTCTGTAACATTTTGTGGTCAAACATGTTATACTTCTCTCTCATATCATTGGGACCTATGATTAAGCCAGATAATTACTCATGGTGTTTCATAGTCTGGTTCTTAGATTATGGATCAGACTCTTCTTAAACGGACTCTGCTCTTTCTTATATAGTCTCTTCAGATTCTCGTAAGTGGTTTCTCCACTAGTTACTAAGAAGTAGTGGTAGATGGTCAGGCCAACTGGAAAAGCTCCCACTAAGATATTGTAGATTATCACTATTATGCATGGAATATTCTCAGAAAAATCTCCAGAATTTAGCATCACTAGTACACTTACAGCCAGGCTAAAAATAAACATGGTCGAAAGAGTGGATATAAAGACCAAGAAGTAGGTGTAGTTCCGTTTACCTACACAACAACTCAACCAAGGGCAGTGATGATCAAAGAGCTCAACACAGTTTCCACAATAATGTCAGTGATGAGTCCGAGGAGGCGCTACAAGGACTCACACATGGCAGTGATATTGTTTTATTAATGAGCTCATATACCTCATTCTGAACTTATAAGTCTGAGGTCTGAGCTCAGTAATTGTACACACATGACTAGTATGCTGTTCCATCTTATGAATAATACCTGGGTTAGAAGTAGCAGTCTTAAGCATGTAATAAAGCCATACAAGGTGTAAAATGACAGACACAAGTATAGTACCCAGTAACGAAAATAGATCATCAATCCTTGGAACTACGAAGATATAATAAATAGCAGGAGACAAATTTGTAAAACAAAGTGTCATCAATATTGCAAGAGGTCTTGGTCCTGTCATAAAGAGTCCTTTGCACCAGAATTTGCTCTTTCCTTCATAAAATTCGTACCTCTTAAAATTCCAAGGATTATCTGTTCATGGAACATATTTACTTAGAATCTGAACTTGTATGTTCTGATGAAGCTATAAAACCCTAATCAAATCTTCCAATTAAAGATTTTATCCCCATAAATATCTCAAATAACATAAAAAACTAACAAAAACTTACAACACAATAATCCGTCTCAAAAACCCTCTCAAATTCTCAAATATACAAAATCCATACAAATTTCTACACAAAACAACCGTTCTCTAAACTATTAACATAACTAAATTTCTCTCATACACTTACTCATTTCCTTCCTTTCAGCTTTCGCTAAATCTCAATTCATTAAATCCTGGTCAACTGCAGTCTTAAGGCACACGTTATTGTCAACTTTGAACTCTCTACTACCCATTTCATCGTTTTCTTTCAGCCCGAATCCTATTAGAATGTTAGAGGAGGGATACAGACAGAGGAAGGGGTTTCAGTGACTTTTTAGATTTTGGATTTTGAGGATTGGGAAGTTAATTTTGAAAGAAAGTAAAAGAGGAAAATTAACATTTAAGGGGATTTAGGTAGGAAATTTTGGGATGGGTAGGGGTGGAAGGGGAAATTTAGGGTTTTGGGGACTAATTTAGGATTTTTAGGGATTTTATGGGAAGGAAGAATTATTATTGAGAAATTTTGGATGAAGGATATAGGGGTAGAGTGTGCTAGGTAGGGGTTTGGAGTAGCCAGAGGAAGCCGAGTTTAGTGATCCGTGGAGAAAGAGTGTACTTTTTAAATCCCTTGGTATTTGAATTAGAAAGAAATTAGAAGAAGATGGTGTTGATGGAGTTAAAGTTATGTTATCAAGTGAAAGAACTCCGTATCCTGAAACTTAGATAAGTAGAATAGAATTACCTGATATGTTCCTTGAATGGGCCACACTCTTTTCGTTATAATTTTCTTCTTCATGACTGTTGATGACTCTCTCAATAGTATTTTCATCAATAGCTTCTTTTGTTCGTTCCATTTTATTTTCAATTTTTTCTAATCTTCACGGGGTTTTGGGGTTTTGGGGTTTTGGGGTTTTGGGG